TAAAAAAAGAATTTTGAGAAAATATTTGTTAAACTATAGGAATTATTTTCAATTTTCTTAAATTTAAGGCGTTTTTTCTAAGCTGCATTTTCCGGATTTTCTATATTTATAAATACTAAAATTGAAAATAAATTCACTAGCCTCTTTTAAAATGGAGAAAAACGAGTTTAAGTTTAGATAAATTTGTACATATATTGAAATCTACTTTCTAAAATACGATATTTTTTTTTAACAGTTTCTATTATTAATGCTAAAATTAAGAAAAATACCCTTATAATTAGAAAAGAATTTTCTCAAATGTTTAGCCTAGGGGGTTAATGTCTTGGAACATCAAACATTGCGTAGCTATTCTGGACCTCAGTTCAAATCCTCTTGTTCTGGAATTGTTCTGTTATTTATTTGTTACTCGGCTGACTAGTTACAAAAGCAATTTTATTGCATATTTTTATACCCTTGCAGAGGGTATTATAATTTCAGTCAGAAGTTTGGAACGCAGTGAAGGAGTCATCTCCGACCCTATAAAGTATATGTATTCTTGATCAGCATCACTAGGAGAGTCTATCTAACCATGTCCGTCTGCCGTCCGTCTATCCTGTGTGTGCAGCTATTTCAAAAACTAAATACTCTTTAAAACGTTTAAATTATGATTTACTTGCGTGTATGTTTAAAAACATTGAAGCTATGATGATTTGCAGCTTAATTATTTGATAGTTCCTATGACAGCTATACGATTGTTCAAATCATCATAGTTTCAATGTTTTTAAACATACACGTAAGTAAATCATAATTTTAACGTTTTCAAGAGTATTTAGTTTTTGAAATAGCTGCAAGGGTATATGAACTTTGGCTTGCCGAAGTTTGCTTCCTTTCTTGTTCTCTTTGAATTCTTATACGGAATTTGCGCAAAGTTGAATGTGATGACACTGTGGCGCAACCGGCTTATGCGTCTACGAATCCTAAGATCCTAGTTCAAATCCCGGTTGAGACATCTTGGCCCAAAAAAGAAGAAGGTTTGTTTTTCCCTTTCCTGTCATAACATTGTTAGCAGTATTATTGGAAGCTGTATAGATCAAGTGGATATAAGATGTGACTATTTAATAATTTAATAATAATAACACGTATGTTCCATTCCGATGTTCCAATAATTTAGAATAAGTAGTAAGGACTATGTGAAGATCAGAATAGGTAACACTTGAATTGAGAGAGACAATTGGAAGCAGACGTGAAAAAGCTAAGCTGAACAGAAATTAAATAAAATAAAAAACTCCAAAATTGAAATAAATAATATAAACCTGCGTCAACAACTTCAGAAGTGGGATAGTCCCATTAATACATTCGCCTACATAGCCATACCTGAGAGCACACATTTTTTTCCGCTTTTATAATTACGACGCCATTCTGAAATGGACAAGACACAAATTGGTGAGTGGCTACAAGCCAACGAAATCGAGTTCCCTGCAAGTGCAACTTTAAGGCAATTGCGCAAGCTTGCTTTGGATGCTGGATACCAAGAAGTGGCTGAAATTCCAGAAAGCATATTGGAGGAGGAGAACTCCAAAATGGAAGTATTAAGCCAAGGAGCCGCTACCGAAGGCATCCAGACATTGGAAGAAGAAGAAGCACTGCTTGACGCCGCCATAAGGGTTGCTGAGAAGAAGAAATTATTAGCCGGATTGATGAAAAACGTCGACAAAACGACAGATGACCTCCAAATGGTGAAGCACCTCGTGAGCCCGTTTTCTGCCACTGAAAATGAGGAAGCCCTTAAGTGGATTTTGAATTTTGAGAGAGTCTGCAGAGATATCAACACATGTACAAATTTTCAACTGCGCTGCGTACGAATGTTGATAAAATCGGGTACAGATGCCGACTTGTTTGTGAGTGTTGATCGATCGAACACTTACGACGAATTTAAGACAAATTTCATAAAAACATTCGGTTGTGGAAGCTCAACTGCTGATATTGTATTGCTACTTAAGGAAACCATGTTCAACCCCGCGAAGAACACCGTTATGGGATACATACTTCTGATGGAGGAAATTGCTATGCGTGCAAATATTGACGAAAAATTGACAGTGCAGTTCGTCATTGATGGTTTTCGCGATCGTTCAGCCAATATCGCTATATTGTACACAGCAACAACAATCGCACAGTTGAAGGAATTGGCTTGGAAGTATGGCAATCTAAGGAAGAAGTCACACAATTTTCCTAAGCGCATGGAAAATGCTGGAGGAGATCGGAAAACAGTCCGGTGCTACAATTGCTCTGCTTATGGGCACTACGCTTGTTGCCCACACAGGCAGCGTGCAGCGTGTTTTATTTCCGACCCTGTAAAATATATACGTTCTTGACCAGCATCACGACGAGCGTTGATCTAGCCATGTCAATAAATCATTATAGCTTTCTTGGTTTTTAACTAGTACTCAAATAATTCGCATTTTTGTTAGCTGCAAGGGTATATAAACTTCAGCTTGCCGAAGTTAGCTTCTTTTCTTGTTTTAGATATTATTTCCTTTTTTGATGACTATTAAGGGGACCTTTCTTCACATTTTTTGAAAAATTGACTTTTTTTATGCGTGGAATGTGTGTTGAAGGATTTTTCGCTATGATACATATATCTCGTATTATTCCATTTTCGCATGATTTCTCGTTATAACTTGTCAAATAAGAATATTCTTGTATAGCTTTTAACGTAATTTACTCGAAAAAAAATTTTTTTTTCAAATGATTTTTTGTTTTTTTGTTTTTTGTTTTTTTTGAATTTAGATAGATTTACAAATAAAACAGTATATTCCTATGTCATTTCAATATTAAAAAAAAATTCTCAAACTTTAATGTATTTTTGACCAAATCTGAATAAAGGTATTCTTGGTATTTACCAATTCTAGGTTTCATTTAACTAGAAATACTTTAACTTTAAAAAAAAAAATTGAAAATTAAAAATAAAACGTTTAAATAGGCCAAATTTAACAAAAATTCAACAAAATGTGTCTGAGGCAAATTGGTGTTGCTCCTGTTTCAATGCCATAATCTTAATGGAACAATCAAGATTGGAAGCAAATGTAATAATGTACACAACGACAACAATTTTCGCCCAAATTTTAATTTAAGCAGTTGAATTTTTCCTGAAAATGCCCATATACGATTCTTAACTAAGGTTACGATTCTTAACTACGTATACAACAAGTTGTTGCATGTCGAATAACTATAATATTTAGTTTGTTTTCGTGTTTCCCAAAAAAATAAAAAACTTCAATTACAGTTTAGGTGAAATATCAGAAATATCAGCTATTTGAATAAACTTCCATAACTTGAAATACCATTAGCAAACCAAAAAGTTTCAGAGATTTATATTTAGAAATGGGCTACTATACGTGTATCTATGATTTATTTTGTGTTATGTTTTCCGAGCTCACGGCATAAAAGTCAACATTTTTAATGGGCTGTCCATATATTAAGAAATCAAGTTTTCGATGTATGTATATCGACTTCAATATAGGGTTGCATTCGGAACATATTGGCGGTGTAATTGCCGCGAAATAAATTTTTGAATAATTGCTTTTAAGAAAAAAACTCTTTATAAAATGATAACGTAATCATTGTCCAAGACACCCTCCCTCCCCATATAATCAAACATAATCATTTCCTTGACACCCGCCAGCTTTCGAAAAAATCAAGTTATGGAAGTTCGATTTTAGGAGATACATTTTTTTGTTTGAGCAATCGAAATTCGAGTTAGCGAAGTTAGAGGCAACGGAGTTCGACTGTATTTATATACCCGTTACTTGTAGAGTAAAAGCGAATATTGTATTTGTTGAAAAGTATGTAACGGGCAGAAGAAAACTTTGTTTCTTACATATAGAAAAAAAATTGTTCCTACGTTAAAAAAATGCATAAAAAAAAAAAAAATTTTTTTTGTGTCTTAAAAAATTTTATAAAAAAAGAATTTTGAGAAAATATTTGTTAAACTATAGGAATTATTTTCAATTTTCTTAAATTTAAGGCGTTTTTTCTAAGCTGCATTTTCCGGATTTTCTATATTTATAAATACTAAAATTGAAAATAAATTCACTAGCCTCTTTTAAAATGGAGAAAAACGAGTTTAAGTTTAGATAAATTTGTACATATATTGAAATCTACTTTCTAAAATACGATATTTTTTTTTAACAGTTTCTATTATTAATGCTAAAATTAAGAAAAATACCCTTATAATTAGAAAAGAATTTTCTCAAATGTTTAGCCTAGGGGGTTAATGTCTTGGAACATCAAACATTGCGTAGCTATTCTGGACCTCAGTTCAAATCCTCTTGTTCTGGAATTGTTCTGTTATTTATTTGTTACTCGGCTGACTAGTTACAAAAGCAATTTTATTGCATATTTTTATACCCTTGCAGAGGGTATTATAATTTCAGTCAGAAGTTTGGAACGCAGTGAAGGAGTCATCTCCGACCCTATAAAGTATATGTATTCTTGATCAGCATCACTAGGAGAGTCTATCTAACCATGTCCGTCTGCCGTCCGTCTATCCTGTGTGTGCAGCTATTTCAAAAAACTAAATACTCTTTAAAACGTTTAAATTATGATTTACTTGCGTGTATGTTTAAAAACATTGAAGCTATGATGATTTGCAGCTTAATTATTTGATAGTTCCTATGACAGCTATACGATTGTTCAAATCATCATAGTTTCAATGTTTTTAAACATACACGTAAGTAAATCATAATTTTAACGTTTTCAAGAGTATTTAGTTTTTGAAATAGCTGCAAGGGTATATGAACTTTGGCTTGCCGAAGTTTGCTTCCTTTCTTGTTCTCTTTGAATTCTTATACGGAATTTGCGCAAAGTTGAATGTGATGACACTGTGGCGCAACCGGCTTATGCGTCTACGAATCCTAAGATCCTAGTTCAAATCCCGGTTGAGACATCTTGGCCCAAAAAAGAAGAAGGTTTGTTTTTCCCTTTCCTGTCATAACATTGTTAGCAGTATTATTGGAAGCTGTATAGATCAAGTGGATATAAGATGTGACTATTTAATAATTTAATAATAATAACACGTATGTTCCATTCCGATGTTCCAATAATTTAGAATAAGTAGTAAGGACTATGTGAAGATCAGAATAGGTAACACTTGAATTGAGAGAGACAATTGGAAGCAGACGTGAAAAAGCTAAGCTGAACAGAAATTAAATAAAATAAAAAACTCCAAAATTGAAATAAATAATATAAACCTGCGTCAACAACTTCAGAAGTGGGATAGTCCCATTAATACATTCGCCTACATAGCCATACCTGAGAGCACACATTTTTTTCCGCTTTTATAATTACGACGCCATTCTGAAATGGACAAGACACAAATTGGTGAGTGGCTACAAGCCAACGAAATCGAGTTCCCTGCAAGTGCAACTTTAAGGCAATTGCGCAAGCTTGCTTTGGATGCTGGATACCAAGAAGTGGCTGAAATTCCAGAAAGCATATTGGAGGAGGAGAACTCCAAAATGGAAGTATTAAGCCAAGGAGCCGCTACCGAAGGCATCCAGACATTGGAAGAAGAAGAAGCACTGCTTGACGCCGCCATAAGGGTTGCTGAGAAGAAGAAATTATTAGCCGGGTTGATGAAAAACGTCGACAAAACGACAGATGACCTCCAAATGGTGAAGCACCTCGTGAGCCCGTTTTCTGCCACTGAAAATGAGGAAGCCCTTAAGTGGATTTTGAATTTTGAGAGAGTCTGCAGAGATATCAACACATGTACAAATTTTCAACTGCGCTGCGTACGAATGTTGATAAAATCGGGTACAGATGCCGACTTGTTTGTGAGTGTTGATCGATCGAACACTTACGACGAATTTAAGACAAATTTCATAAAAACATTCGGTTGTGGAAGCTCAACTGCTGATATTGTATTGCTACTTAAGGAAACCATGTTCAACCCCGCGAAGAACACCGTTATGGGATACATACTTCTGATGGAGGAAATTGCTATGCGTGCAAATATTGACGAAAAATTGACAGTGCAGTTCGTCATTGATGGTTTTCGCGATCGTTCAGCCAATATCGCTATATTGTACACAGCAACAACAATCGCACAGTTGAAGGAATTGGCTTGGAAGTATGGCAATCTAAGGAAGAAGTCACACAATTTTCCTAAGCGCATGGAAAATGCTGGAGGAGATCGGAAAACAGTCCGGTGCTACAATTGCTCTGCTTATGGGCACTACGCTTCGTCGTGCACTGCGCCGAAACGCGAGAAGGGATCTTGTTTCCGTTGTGGATCCCTCCAACATATGCTAAAGGATTGTCAGCAGAAGCCAGCAAGTGATCCTAAAGTGGTGGGAGCAGCCAACAACCAGCCGATACGAGATGACGAAGAGGAGCCTAATATTTATTATTCCGATTTTTAACCAGGTAGGAGTATATTTTTACACTGATTGCCAACATAAGCCTAACGTAACTCTTCTGTCTGCCATGTTCGATACGGGAAGCGCCATTAATTTAATTCAGCACTCTGCGATTCCTTATAAAAACTTTTGCGATATACTGGTCCCGACGAATTACTATGGAGTTAATGGATTTAAAATTAAAACATTCGGAAAATTTTTTGTCAGGCTCGTTTTTCAAAACATAGAAGAAGAAATTTCATTTTTTGTTGTACCCAATAATTATGTTTCAACTAATGTTCTGTTAGGCCGTAAGTTTTTTTTGAGAAATTTGGAATAAAATTGATTTCTAAGGATAAGGTAAAAGAAATTGTAGAAGTGAATTTATTTAAGGATAGTGAACCATTGAAAATAGTGAGTATTGACTTCAGAATAGTGAAACATATAGAGACAGTGACCATTTAGAAAGCAGTAGAGATTTTGAAGAGTTGTGTATAGAAAATGAAATAGTTAGTGACGACAGCATTCCGTATATATATAGTATTGATGTATTTCAGGATGATGAAAGTTTTGACATTGACCCGAAGTTAAGTGATGAAGATCGAAGCGAACTCAGTGAAATAATAAGATTGAATTACTTATATTTATCTAACATCCCAGCGATCCAACATAGTTATGAAATGAGGCTAAGACTTAAGTCTGAAGAACCGGTACGCACTGTACCAAGAAGACTTTCGTATCAGGAGAAGAAAGAAGTAGATTCAAAAATTGATGAGGTATTTGCAACCTTTGATTCGCGAAGGAAATGTAGTAGTTTATATAGACGATATTGCTATAGGCTCGAAAACATTGAACGAACATTTTAAGATTGTAGGAAGAGTATTACGAATTTTAGCAGAGTACCACCGATTGGAAATTAAAATAAATAAGTGCCAGTTCGCTTACAAAAGCATTGAATTTTTAGGGTATACACTGAGTGAAAAAGGAATAAGTCCGAATTATGAGCACACATCAACTATTAAACATCTTCCGATACCAAAAGATCGCCATGGAATGCAGAAATGTTTAGGACTATTTTCTTACTTTAGGAGGTTTATTCCGGCATACTCAAAAATAGCAAAGCCATTGCAAGAGCTCACAGAAGCAGGTGTTAAGTATGAACTTAGTGAGGATTGTATAAAAACTTTTGAATATCTTCGTGACAAATTAATTTCATCTCCCATATTATCCTTGTACAACCCAAATCGAGAGACTGAATTGCATTGCGACGCAAGTTGCGAGGGATTTGGAGGAATTTTGTTGCAAAAGCAGGATGATAATAAGTTTCACCCAATAGCCTATTTTTCACAAAGAGCAACAAAACTAGAAGCTAGATATGAAAGCTTTAAATTGGAAACATTAGCTGTAGTTTATTCATTACGAAAATTCAGAATATATTTAGAAGGAATTCCGTTTAACATAGCAACAGATTGTAATGCAGTAGTTTTGTGCCTAGGGATAGAACGCCTTAACTCGAGCATTGCCAGATGGGCTTTAGAATTGGCTAATTACAATTATACCCTTAAGCATCGTAGTGGAAAATATATGACTCATGTTGATTCATTAAGTAGATACCCTTCAGCCTTAAATGAGAGTTTTGAATATGAACCAGTAGTGAATATCCAAAATAGTGACAACAAAGATCAAATAGTTTCAGTAATTGACAGTGACGACATCAACCTTCAGCTTCAGATAACGCAAAATAGAGATAGTATTATAGTGAAATTGAAAGAACAATTAGAACAACGAAGTGTGAAGAACTTTATATTAAGCGATGGAATTGTTTATAGATTAGGTGAGAATGATATTGAATTGCTATATGTACCAGCTGAAATGGAATCCCATATAATTAGGAGGGTTCATGAAAATTTATGTCATTTAGGTTCCGAGAAGTGCTTAAAAGAAATAATGAGAACCTATTGGTTTCCGAACATGAAAGCTAAAATAGATGCATTTATTGGAAATTGCTTAAAGTGTATCATGTTTACGGTACCCACACATGCGAATAATCGAACACTTCATAATATACCTAAGCGACCAATTCCGTTTGATACATTACACATAGACCATTTTGGACCTTTACCTTCAGTTATATCGAAAAAGAAACATTTGCTAGTAATTATTGATGGATTTACCAAATTTGTTAAGTTGTATCCAGTGAATTCAACGAGTACAAAAGAATTCAACATGTGTTTTTCGAAATATTTTCAATACTATAGTCGACCACGTAGAGTTGTAAGTGATAGAGGTACATGTTTTACGTCATTAGAATTTGCCAAATTTTTATTAGAAAATAATATCGAACACGTTAAGGTAGCAACTGCGTCACCTCAAGCGAACGGACAGGTGGAGAGAGTAAATAGGACAATAAAAGCGATGCTGGCCAAGATAACTGAACCAACTAAGCATGAAGACTGGAGCAAACTTTTAGATAGGGCCGAATATGCCATTAATAATTCAATGCATTCAACTACAAAGGAATTACCCTCAGTATTATTATTTGGAGTTCAGCAGAGAGGTTGCAATATTGACGCATTAACAGAATACTTAGATGATAGAAATGATATACCACAGAGTGATTTAGAAAATGTGCGTAAGAATTCTTCAGATACAATAGAACAGTGCCAGAAAAGGAGCAAAGAATATTTTCAGAAGAATCATAAAGACCATATAGAATTTGAGGAAGGCGATTTTGTTGTAATGCGAAACATTGACACCACAATTGGTACAAACAAAAAGTTTGTACCAAAGTACAAAGGACCATATATCGTTAAAAAGATATTGCCAAACGATAGATATGTCATAAGTGATATTGAAAATTGTCAAATTAGTCAAATTCCCTATGAAGGAATTGTAGAAGCATGTCGGATACGAAAATAGGCAGATTGACGTAATCAGTGTGAAATTAACTCCTAATATATGCTAAATTAATTTAATTATATATCATAACTAGTCAAAATTATTACTAACTAAAACATATAATATTAAGAAAAACTTTTATAATATTAGAAACCCACGATCGAGGACGATCTAATGTCAGGATGGCCGAGCTGTTAGCAGTATATTGGAAGCTGTATAGATCAAGTGGATATAAGATGTGACTATTTAATAATTTAATAATAATAATAACACTTATGTTCCATTCCGATGTTCCAATAATGTAGAATAAGTAGTAAGGACTATGTGAAGATCAGAATAGGGTTACACTTGAATTGAGAGAGACAATTGGAAGCAGACGTGAAAAAGCTAAGCTGAACAGAAATTAAATAAAATAAAAAACTCAAGAATTGAAATAAATAATATAAACCTGCGTCAACAACATTAAAATTTCCTTTGTTATTTTCCAATTACAGAGAGCGGGTGCAAGAGGGTGGGCACATAAAAAACTTAATATATTATAAAATAACAGATACAGATATTCAAATAGATTTTAGCTCACTCCCCACCAACCCTTCAGGGTTAAGGGTATTTTTTTAGAAACTTTTTTTCTAAAATATAGAAAATAAATTCTATGTTTTTGAACAATTTCGTCCTATATTTAAAAACCTTCTTTCTGTAATATAGATAAAATCGCATATAAATCTAAATCGTGGGCGATTATCTAAAATCAAAGGCGAATTTTTATGTCTTAGAAAAAAAATTGTTTGAGTGTAAATATACATTTACTATATTAATAATGTTAATTGTAATAATTGTTAGCCGGCTCGAGGTTAGGATGTTGAAAAAATAACACCATTTTTTTTTAATTTTGGTTATTTGTCAATATATTTCAGATGCTCTTCGGCAACCGTCTTCAGGACAACTATAAAATAATTACAACGATTTTAATATTCTTAACAAACAGAAAACAATTTACATTTGACATATATATAACTTATACGTCTGCGTCCGGTGACGTGGAGTTGTTAACTAATTTTTCTTTCCCTAGTAAATGTCTATATAAATGAGCGCAATTGTCATTGTCCGTTTTTTAGTTCATCCGTATGTCTGTAGGTGTTTTTATGATATGTGGCATTTCTATGGTGAATCGTTTGGCATAGTGTTGTTCTTGTGATAAGATACTCGCCTCTTCGAAGTTCGGAGAGTGATTATTCTTGGCACAGTGGGACATGAGTGCTGTTTTTTGCGCGTTCGTATGGTGTCTAGCTTTGAAGTCCGATTTATTGTTTTGGGTGTTTGAAGTTAAAGTTGATGATTCGTCCGGACTCAATTGGTTTCTTATACCATTTTAATTTTAATCGGTTTCCACGTCTAATTATTACTGAGTCCAAATAAGCTAATTGATTGTTTTCCTCTGGTTCTATTGTAAATTTTATATTATTGGCGAAAAAGTTGAGCATGGTCAGTGTAGTTTTAATGTCATCCTCTTAAATGATTGCGAACAGGTCATCTATGTTACGTATTTGGTCAGTAATCTTGAAGGTCGTCTTAGTTTTTCTAACGTGTTGTCCAGGAGAGTTTCCATTACAATATCTGCAATAACCGGCGAGGCTGGCGATCCCATAGTCATTCCTTTTAATTGTGTGTAAAAATTGTTTCCAAATTTGAAATATCTGTTTTCTTGAATACAAAATTGTATTATGTCAATAATTATTGTTTGCGGTATTTTTCTGTGTTTTTGTATTGTCTATTTGTTTTTAATTATATCGAGGACTAGATCTGTCGGTATACTCGGAAATAATGAAATTACGTCAAATGAAATTAATCTTTCATCGTCGCCAATGTATGTGTTGTTGATTTTGTCTTTGAATTCTTCTGAATTTTTTATGTTATATTTGGAGTCTATTGTCATGTTTTTTAATATGTCAGGATGGTGATCCAATGGAGGAGCAGATTGGTCGTAGAGGGGTTCCTTCTTAATGAATTTTGGGTAGTCCATATATTCGTGATGGTAAAGCTGTGGTGGTTGTCAACTTATTTCTTTCGATCCTTGAGATACGTTCCATTTTTAATAGTTTCTCCCCAATTTCGTTATTTTTTGTTTGTAGTCTAGAGGTGGGGTCTGTCCTGTATGTGTTTATATCCTTTAATATGTCCTTCATTTTTTGGTTGTAGTCATCTTTGTTCATAGCTACCGTCTTGTTACCTTTGTCTGAGGTCAATATTAAAATATCGTCATTTTCTTTAATAAATCTCCTTGTTTGCCCCACTGTGTCTAATATTGCACGATCAAATGCACTTTCTTTGTTTGATGTTTTGTGGTCTTTGATAAGCAAAGAGAATTGGGTTCGCGCCTCTTCTTGTTTCTCTTTGTCAATAATAGTTTTGAGGATTTCCTCTCCGTCCGCAATGTATTTTAAGAGAGGGAATTTCTTCTTCTCTATTGTTTAGATAAGAGCTGTGGACTGGCGGTATAAACTTGAATTGTTCTCTGTTTGTCAACAAGCCAAACAGTGATACCGTGGCACACTACCAACACAAGAAAGAAGACTAAACTATTTTCGACTTGAGTACTAGGCTTTCACATGCAGATTATAGTTATTCCTACGCAACGAAAGTTTATTTAAAAACGTGGCCACGCGCACTCTAACTCCTAAAAAATCGCGAAATTTGTGGGTTTTCAAATTGGTTAACTGAGTAACGGGTGTCTAAAAGTCGAGGAACTCGACTATATCGTTTCTTCTTGTTTGATTTATATTATTTTTTCTTAGAAACAATGATTTACTGTAAATCACAAATGGTAATTATACCCTTGCAGAGGGTATTATAATTTCAGTCAGAAGTTTGCAACGCAGTTAAGGAGACATCTCCCTATAAAGTATATATATTCTTGATCAGCATCACTTGGAGAATCGATCTAGCCATGTCCGTCTGTCCGTCTGTCAGTCTGTCCGTTCGTCTGTCCGTCCGTTTCTACGCAAACTAGTCTCTCAGTTTTAAAGCTATCTGCATGAAACTTTCCCAAAAGTTGTCTTTCTATTGCAGGTAGTATATAAGTTGGAACGAGCCGGATCGGACGACTATAGCATATAGCTCCCATAGGAACAATCGGATATATAAATTTAAAAAATTATAACTTTGCTATTTTTTTTATTTTTTGTTTAGTTCTTCGGCATTTAGTAATGGTCAAATATTTCCGATTTACGGTTTAAATTTAATCAAAATCGTACAACTATAACATATAGTTCCCATAGGAACAATCGGAAAAATAAATGAAAAAAAATTATAACGTTTCTGTTTTTTAATTTTTTGTTTTGTTCTTCAACATATAGCAATGTTTAATTATTTCAGAATTATAGTTTAAATTTTATCAAAATCGGACGTCTATATCATATAGCTCCCATAGAAATGATAAAAATATATATAAAATAACTATCAAATAATTGAGCTGCAAATCATCATAGTTTTAATGTTTGTAAACATATACGCAAGTAAATCATAATTTTAATGTTTTCAAAAATATTTAATTCTTGCAATAGCTGCAAGGGTATATGAACTTCGGTTTGCCGAAGTTTGCTTTCATTCTTGTTTTATAGTTATTTATAGTAATTTAGCATGCCTAAAGTAAAATTAAACTACTTTTTAAGAGATAAAACCAAAAATATTGTAAAATGTAATCTATATTTATAGTTTATTTTACAGTTTAAAGCTAGGCAACTAAGTTTTATAAAATGTGCAACTGTGCTAAAGCACAGTGTGCAATTTGTGTTGCACACAGAATATGTTTGTACTAAAAAATGTTCACTTGCTTTTAACAATAAAATACATTTTTAAATAAACTTTTCTTAAAATTAAAATTATATATACAAATTTGATTCAACAATAATTTAATTTTATATTGGAATTTTTTTTCATACTAAATTTTTTAATACAGTTTATACTTGTTGTATTGTATTTAAATTATCAATTTGAAATAAATTCGAAATAAATAATTTAGTTTTCTGTGTGTACGTAAAATATAAAAGAAAAATTTTACGCTTATGATATCGCGTGTAATATAAGGCCAATAGCTTCCTTATATTTTTATGTCACGCAAGTTACTACTACTATTTGCAATTCTAAATCTCTCTTTGGAGTCATATAATATTATTGTATTTGCTTAAAAGTGCCTAACAATTAGATACCATTTTCTATAAAATAAATATCAGACCTTCTTCGGTATTCAATTCCGAACATTAAACTTGAATTTTATTAGAGTTTGGATCAGTTTTTTTGCAAATAAGCAAGCTTGTTGGCAATATCGTTACCATCTGTAAGGTTATGGGAAATACAAATATTTTTCTAAAATAAAGAAAATAAAATTTGTCTATATTTTATAAGTATTTCTAGAAAAACGAAAATATTTTTTGAATTTTAAAAAAGTTTTCTTAAAAAATACATTTTTAGAAATTATTTTCTAAGATGTAGAAATCCCTTATCCTTTTCTTGTTTCGTTCAGTTTTAATACGAATTTCGGCTCTCATTTGTTCAGTAAGGCAATGCTAGTGGTCTCTTTGGAATATCAAATCCGGGAAATAGCCTCCTGACACGCCTCGTTCTGCAGAGAAATGGTAGGCATTTTTACGGAGCTTCATATACATGTAAGCTAAATACATATCAACCTGCCAGCTGTGCGAACTTAGGTGACAGCGAGTAATGGTGTAATCAGTGTTGGGAATGGTAGTAGTTTTTTGGATCTAGATAACGTACAATGTATTTGAGATAATGAGTGCCTAGGTGAGGTGAAGGCCTCACAATTTGTCAAGTTTCTAGGTAAGAAACAAATTACAAAAACGGTAGAAAAAACATTTCTAATGCTATGTATAGGCTTTTAAGTCTGGTTGTATAAACATGTATAAAGAAACGTCTTGCGGAAATAACTTTTATTTTGCAGGGAAATTATGCTACTTTTTATAAGCATATTGGCGAAATAATACAAAATACAATTTAGTGGTAACAAGCTTATTTGACAACAACAAAACAACAAGTATTTCAGTGCCCAAATACCTAACATTTAACATTTTTTAAAGATAAATAAAAATCTTCAACCAGGTATGGTGAAATGTAATCTCACATTTT